GAAAACAGAGAAGCTTCGAGCTATGAACAAATAAGCAAAGCAGACCTCCATGTGCTAGCCGACCGTATCTCCTGCAAATGACAATCTGAAATCACAGACTATGCTTAAGTCTTGACATGGTTCCTCAGGTGCCATGGGCCGGTCTCTTTAGGAACATCACAGGTATCAAGGGCGTGTTGTCTGAAATCATCAACCAGTGCAAGCAAGCTTGGTAGGGCAAGCGTAATGTCACCGGTTGTCCGGCTTCTTCAGCGGGCTAAGGCAAGGATGAATTTGCCGTACACGACCTGCAGTACGAATGCGATCTTGATACCCTACTTGCCTACCCACGCTGGCATCGACAAGTAGGTAGGCAGGCAGGCAGGCGTTTTCGCTGCGGCATGGTCATGTCTGACAGCCTGCAAGTTGGGGGGATAGCTCTTGCCAAGGCGGGCGGAAGATGTGCATCATCAACCATTCCTCAAATGGCAATGTGTCGGAGAGGGAAGGTCCAGACTGGTCCTCATTACGTCTGTTGTGGGCTCACATGGCCTACCTTAGGCCGTATGCAAGACGTCTCATCTTTCCAGACGAAAAGCGCGAAGCCTGAAGGTGCGTTGGGAACTTGGGGGGATAGGGGCGATGCCGCGACGATGGCGTGGTCGTTAGTTCGGAAGGCGTGAAGTCGCAAAATGACATCATGGAAGGTGCGCAGGGTACGAAGCTGCCCCTCCATCCCGCGTTTGTCCTCCACAATGACCCAAAGTGGCCCCCTCCTCTGCTCTTGCAACCACAAGAACCATCTCAAAAATGACATCACACCTTCAGCTCCGTCTGGCAAATACCATCGCGGTTGCCAGAACAATGGCGATTCACATGCTCCCTGCCTGAGGGAAGTGGAGGAGTCTGGACGTGGTTCTCCCATTCATAAATACCATCCATCCTCCTCAACAGTAACACTCCATTTCCTCTACTTCAACAACTCACGTCATTCATCAAACGCAACCTACAAGAAACTTCACATTATTCCCTCGATCAAACTCATCAGAGCAAACAAATCACACAACCTTCATTATGTCTGCCAACAACGATAACACTTCCACCCTCAAGTCGTACGTCGACTCTGCCTCTGGCGCTGCCCAGAACCTCCTCGGCTCTCTGACCGGCAGCACTGCCGACCAGAACAAGGGAGAGGCCAAGCAGGATAAGGCACAGGTCGAGCACGATGCTTCTCACGCTACCGCTAAGGTTCCCGGCTTCACTGCTACCGCTGGTGGTGTGACCAAGGACGACCCCGATCGTGCTGGCGGCTCCTGGAACCAGACCGTCGGCTCTGCTAAGGAGACTGTTGGTGGTCTCGTCGGCTCCGAGGTAAGCTTACCGACAAATTCCGCTCCCTTCTTAACAGGCGTTCAGTAAGCTGATAGCATGAGTACAGAATTTGAAGCAGCAAGGTCGTGAACAGAACCTCGAGGGTCAGCAGCAGGAGGCTAAGGGCCAGCTCAACGACTATACTTCTGGCATCGGCAACCGTGTCCAAGGCACTATTGGTGGTGCCGTCGCTGGTCTCACCGGTGACAAGGCTGGTCAGGCACACTACGAGGGTCTCCACGACACGGGCAAGACTCAGCAGCGCGGTGCCGAGCACGATATTCAGAAGCAGGCCGAGGCTAAGCAGCACTAAATCCCCTCGCCAACTTGGTGAGGGTGACGGTTGGCAGGATTGAGGACACAGACGGAATTTGATACCCCTTGCACGAAAATGCATATCCCCAAGTAGTCCTGCAGGTAGAGATGAATTGACTCAACAACCTCACTTGATTGTACCCTTTGAACGTGACAATGTGTGGCTTCCAAACCTAACCCAGGCGTGACTTCCCTCGTGGGTATGTAGAACCCGGGATATAGATTGGGAAAGTGGATCTGGGGATGCTGAAATGTCCTCCACTTGTTCCATATCTCCTGCTAGAAATAAGGTAGATTCCATCTTGTCCGATAGTGCCGCAGTTGCACAGCTTACTGATGGCAATCTCGGGGGGCAGGTTGGAGAAAACGCTCGCTCTCACATCAGGTCTCAACGCCATAGTTATTTGGCTTGTCCTCGCGAAATCATCTTGCCGTACCTTATTCTGGCAGCGTCAAGTAGTGAACATGAGCGCCCAGTTCTTATGGCGGCTTGGCTACTTTAGCACCCATCATGCACCTACCGGCGATCCAGAGAGTTAATTTTCCCCCGCTGACCTGAAGTGCAGCACAAACGCAGCGCAAGTGCAAGGGTTAAAAGCGAGTAGGCCACTAAGATGCAAGTGTCCAGCCTCTTACATGGCTGGTGCGTGGAGCCAAACAGAACCCGCAGGTTGCAGTTGTTCGGATGGCACATTATGGCGCTTCCAAACTATGTAAGGTACCTGACTGAAATCAAGGTACTGGAGACAAGCGAACAAACCTGCAGCTGCACACTTTGATTACGCCAGTGGTAATTATGCCTTCTATGCCATCCATCCTCTCTTCATCACTATTTTGGCTAGGCAAATCGCACCAGCACAAGCAGACATGCCCTTCCGCCCTCGCCTCGTCCGAGTCGTCTCATCTTGTCTCGCTCGCTGACCGCCAGACAACCCCTCATCATGGAACTTACCCCTCGCCTATCGCCCACCGCCGTCCGCAATGCTGGGTTCCAGGTTCTAGGTTCTAGCCCTTCCCGTCGCGTCTTCGACCGCCAGAAGTGCTAATCTAATGTGCCCGAGTATTTCTCCCCTTCTTGTCGCCAGTCGGTGGACTTTGCCTACGATATGCAGCACAGTGGATACGCACAAATCCCACCAAACGAAGCCCCGAAGATGAGGGCTGCGATGATGGGTGCTACTGCTGGTCACAAGCTCAGCCCTCGGTGATAGGCCCCCCTTCTCTCTCTTGACTTCCAAGTTCCCACCGTCTAGGGCAGAAGAAGAACACCGGCCCCATCGGATCGGTTCTCGAGCCACGTTCAGGCCACAGTGAAGCCATGCTGGATACAGAAGTTCACCCTCGTCTGTCCAGTGACAGGTGACGCTCCAATATGCAGCTGCAGGGGAGACCACCAACCATGGAAGCGTCGCATCCCACGGTCGACGAACGGGACCCGTCAGGAGCGACCTCGGTGCCATTTATTGGCTCATGCCGCCCAGTGGCTGCACCTCACGAGCAGAAAGATGCAAGGGAGGCCGCATCCAAGAGGGGCAGGAAAAGGCAAGGAAGAGGAGGCATTATTTGATTGCGCTGCATCTGGAACCCGACTTACAGACCCTAACGTCGTACTGGCGCGCACAGCACTGCGCGGAGCGGAACGACCAACTCCTGCCGTCAACGGTCATGACGGGAGTACAGTAATAATACCACCGCGAAGCCCTCCATGCCCTCCTTGCCCTCCCCCCCCCCCCCTCCGATTTTGTGTACACACTTCCGTCGTCATCAACGTTGCCTCCTTCTTTCCTTCACATATCGACTGTGCCGTCTCTTTACTTCGAACACTACCTTTGTCCGTCGCGGATCCTGTACCTGTGTAGGCCTACGCATACTTATTGACCAACAACTCTTCCGTCGCATCATGGTGCGATAGTTTCTCGCCAGTTGACCCGCCACTTACACTCTTCTCTTACGTGCTTCGCTCTCCGCCATGGCCGAGACCGAGGTGCGCCAGTGGACGTTCGTCCTAATCCTGACCGCGCTCCTCCTTTCCCTCGTCGTACTCTCCCAGATCCTGACAACATATATCACTGCCTATCGTGTTGCTCCCAACGAGATCACATCTTTTATCGATGCCGTCGACTTTTCGGTCGAGGAGAACGAGAGCTACGACCGGGATGTTGCCAAGGTCCAGCGCCTTGAAGATAAGCTCCGCCTAGGTCGACTATTGCGCGAGATCCAGAAGGGCGGCGACGACCTGCGTGAAGAGATCAACTTGCTACTTCTCTCCGAAGATACCACTTCTCTACGCCTGAGCGCCCGTCTTCTCTGGGCGAGCAAGCGCCGCGATCTCGAGGAGCGTGTGCGCCGGCTGGATCTCGTGAGGATGCGCTTCCTCGTAGTATACATGGGTGTGGTCGCGGACCGGGCGAACGTCACAGCAGAACGTCAAGTGCCCGTCGCAACACCAACGACACCGCAAAGAGACCCAGAAAAGACCCCTGTTTCTCCCTTCACGCCCCCCATGACCAACTTGAACGCCCACTTGACGCGCGCCTTGACGGAGGAGATTCGAGAGCGGCCGCCGCTGCGAAGGCTAACTACCCAAGCTATCGGCCATCGCGAGATTACGCAACCCGGGCACAAGCTGGGGTGGGCGGGTGTGGTTCAGGAACTGCAAAAGAGTCCCCGGATGCACAAGCGACGCTCCTCCATTGAAAGATCCATCGAACAAGAGTTGGCTGATTCCAAGCTCACAATTTGATACGACGATGGATTCGGGGAGTGTGGCTTGCGGCAGACGTGGGAGAGCGTCGAGACTCTATAGACGGCACCTACATATACGCGAACTACGACGAAGAACGATTTACCGGCTTACGACTACAGATTACATGGCACTAACGACGTATGAACACTTGCATATGCATATTGAACAGACGACATATTATCTGGTGGCACTCAGCTTGAGGCCTCGGAAAAGCATCTTGGGGAGGGCCTCGCTGGCAGACCATCTGTCAGCTCTCCCACGCCCGCATAATTTTTTCACTGCGGACACGAACTTTATGAAGAAAACGGAGGGGTCACAGGCGCAAGGCGGACACGAAGGCTCACGGGAGACTCATGGCAGGTTCACAGAGAGGATTGGGGGTGAAGGTAGTTTTTACTTTTTTGGACCGTTTATCGGGAGGATTTACACATCACTTCACTTAGATGAGATACCCCTTTTTTCACAGCATCATTAGCCACATGGCATATTTACACTACACTTGATCAGTTAGTCTTTTCATTTTCCAATCCAATACAAGACCCCCTGGCTTAAGCATACCATTTTGATCCTGTCCCGTGCGTACTTCGGCTTAGTGGGAAGGCAGAGCCACGTCGTCAGGCCCAGTGCTGTTCCTCTCACCGACTGCTTGAATGTCAGAATCGATTCGACTTGAAGACGTGGAAGGTTTCATCTTACCATCGAGAGCCACCAGGAATCTGCTCACACAGTTATAGCACGCAACCTGGATTCATTCGTTAGCTTCTCTCACTTGTCACCCCAAACTCCTTCTCATCCCCATTCCACGGGGGAAAGAAGAACAACTCACCGTCGTCGTAATTTCCACCACCTCCCTCTCGTTAAACAGCTCCTTGAGCTTGGCAAACGTCTCGTCCTTGACCCTGACGTTCCTCGTCATCTCGTCCGAGTAGACGAGCACAGCCCACTGCTTCTCGCTGAGGTACAGCGCGGGGCGGCTCGCCAGCTCGAGCGGGGTCTCGGTCTTGATGGCGTCCATGCCCTCCTGGGAGACACCGGCGGCGACGGCGAGGGGCGCGTGATGGCCCCACTCGTACCAGGCCTTGTTAACGACGGCGACGCGGGAGATTGCCAGCTCGCGGAGGTCGGCGGGGATGGTGGTCTGGGTGCGGACGGCGCCGAGGAAGGAGTTCCAGCCGTCGGCGACGGGGGGCGCGTGCAGGAGGGTCAGGTCCAGGGCCTGAAGGGGGCGGGGCGCGCGGCGGGCTTGGATACGGGAGACGATGGCTGCGTCTTCGGGGGTTGTGGTTTGGGGAGGGTTGGGGACGTAGGGGAGACGCATTTTGGATGGTATTCGGGGGTTTGTGAAGGGGGAGGAGGAGGAGGAGGGGTTTCTTGGTAGTGATGCTGTTACTTTGGGGGGTATGACTGCTATCTTTTTGGGTTTAAAAAGGTTGAGGAACCTTGAGAATGAGCTCATGTACCTCGATGTGGTGGTTTAGATTGGCGAGGTGATATCTTCAAAGTCAGAAAAGTGAGGTTTATGAAATGCCTTCTTTTATTTCATCCGAGGGGTTTACGCGGGGTTGCGTATAAGTCCCGTCTCCACATCCCGAAAATCGGGCGGGCCGAGAGAGCGTTCTTTCCCCCTCTTGCCAAATTTCTGGGTCTTCCGGTTGAATGCTGTCCCGGCGCGATGCCGGTGTCGCTTGGGACACCCGACTGTAACCTGGAAGTCACTCAAGGAACGGTCGGGCAATTCGGTAGGGCACTCTCGGGTACGGATACTTCCTTAGAGTGTCGGTAACAGGTGGGAAACCTTTTTTTTCAGTGGAGAGCCGTCTCGTTTGCTTCCTTGGGGATTGGGGATGACTTGCATGGGGAAAATATGGAGTTGAGTCTCTACCTTACGCATGGAGAGGTTTGATTTATCAGTGTTGTGTACCTGTGTCAATTAGAAGAATCAAGCACTAGATGCTATGAACCCGGTGTTTTTTATCATTGCCGACCGAATTGCCAAGTCTACACTAGACTACAGAATTAGCAAGAGCAAGATACATCTAGAGCTTCTCAAAACTTGGGGGTGACCCGTCCTTCTTCCGTCCCTGCGGATGCCTTCTTGCGAGCACTTGGTCTTCATGAAGTTCGGGATAAGTAGGCTCTTCAGGACTCTGACTTTGAGTCGCTGACGCTCTCAGCAATGATGCTGCTAAGGTAAGGTACCTTAGGGAAGGTAAGCACTGTCCGATCTATCGCATGACGTACTGGACCTGCTCCTTCCCTCTATGGGTCTCTGAGGATTGGCTTTAATTTGCTGTTCTGAGGGGAATTCCATGAAGGACTTTGCAAAGAACTACGGGCAGTTCAAGATGCGGGCCGGGGAGGAAGCTTTGACGTCAACCTACCAGTTGCATCGCAATTACCAACTTACCACTGTCAACAACTAAATAGGTCGCCAAAGCTCCAACTCCTTCAGCACATTTCGCGCTAGCTCGCCGCCTGGACACTGAACAGGCCCAACTCACCTGCTCCGTACCCCCGCCAGCTTCTCCACGCTACCTTACCTCACCTTACTCCACCAACAATCGCGCCGCGACCCCCAGCAACTTGCAGCCAACTGACGTGACTGCCTAAGAACCTTAGGTGGGAAGAAAGTGAAAGCGCGAGGCGGGTCACGTGCAGAGCTCCTACCTCTCCCAATTTACGCGGTGGATTTTTCGGATCTCGCGTCGCCAGCAGCAACCTGGAACCTTTCGTTCTTCAACCCCTTCTCTGCCACCAAATCCGTCACTCACTACGCAGCGACGATGGCGGAGATCAAGATCGACAACAAGGCCTTCCATGAGCGCACTTCGCGCCTCGCCAGCGCCTGGAAGAATGACTTGCGATCCAAGGATGGCAACATCTTCCACGGCGCCTCGTCCATCGTCGTGATGATGGGCAAGGTGGAGGAGGTCCCCGAGCTGCACAAGAACAACGCCATGCACGTTAGTCGCCTCCCTTCCAATCCGCGACGACACGGACATTTCCATTGTGTTTGCCATCATCACCATGTACGGATCGAGAGCTGACTTTTTTTTTTTTGCGCAAATAGTTTTGGCTTCTTGGCTACGAATTTCCGACGACGATGATGCTGCTCACGACCGAGAAGATCTACATCCTCACGACTGCGAAGAAAGGTGAGGAGTTTTCGCCATCACTGCGTTGCACACGCAGCGAGTGTTAGCTAACTCAATCTCAGCGAAACATCTGGAACAGTTGAAGAATGGCCGATTCCCTCTCGAGGTCCTCGTTCGAGGCAAGGACGCCGCTGAGAACGAGAAGCTTTTTGTCAAGCTCGCTGAAGTCATCAAATCTTCGGGCGTAAGTCATTGCTACGCGCGACCAACATCGAACATCACTAACACAATCGTGTCGCAGAGCAAAGTTGGCACTATTGCCAAGGACACCTCCAAGGGTCCCTTCATCGAAGAGTGGAAGAAGGTTTTTGCCGATCAATGCAAAGACATCGAAGAGGTCGACGTTTCCCAAGCCCTGTCACAGCACGCCTTCTCCGTGAAGGACGAAACCGAGCTCCGAGCCATGCGAACCGCTTCCAAGGCCTGCGTCGCCTTGATGACCCCCTTTTTCCTCGAAGAAATGTCGGACATTCTTGATAAGGAGAAGAAGGTCAAGCACAGCGCACTGGCAGACAAGGTCGACAAGAAGCTTGACGATAACAAGTTCTGGAAGACGGTCGAGCTTCCAAACAAGACCAAACTTCCCGCAGACTTGGACCCCGCACAGCTGGACTGGGTTTTGGGCCCTCTTGTGCAGAGCGGTGGGAAATACGACTTGAAGATGAACTCCGAGAGCAACGACGACATTTTGCACCCCGGCACTATTGTTGCTGCTATGGGCTTGCGCTACAAGTCGTACTGCTCGGCCATCGCGCGTACCTATCTTGTAGATCCCAACAAGTCGCAAGAGAGCAACTACAAGCTTCTTTTCAACATCCACAATATGATTCTCAAAGAGGTACGCGATGGCGTCGTTATCAAGGAGGTCTACAACAAGGCTTTGAGCATGATCAAGGCCAAGAAACCCGATTTGGAGAAACACTTCTTGAAAAACGTTGGTTGGGGTGTTGGTTTGGAGAATAGAGACCCGACCTTGATTCTTAACGCCAAGAACTCCCGAGCTCTGAAGGATGGCATGACTCTCGTCATCACAACCGGCTTCAGCGATATTGAGAACCCTCAACCTCAAGACAAGAACAGCAAGATCTACTCCTTGGTCATCACCGACACGATCCGTGTGACATCGAGCGAGGCAGTCGTTTTCACCGGAGATACTCCTATCGACGCGGATTCAAATTCCTTCTTCTTCAAAGACGAGGAGGAGGCCCAGCCTACGCCCAAGAAGGAGAAGAAGGATTCCCGAGTTGGTGCTGTTGCTACTAAAAACATCACTTCTACGAGGTTGAGATCCGAGCGGACGACCACTGTCGATGACGATGCGGATAAAAGACGCCGGGAACATCAGAAGGACTTAGCTTCAAAGAAGCAGAAGGAGGGCCTTGCGCGCTTCTCCGAGTCTACTAGTGGGCAGAACGGCAAGGAGGTGAAGAAGTTCAAGCGCTTTGACTCATATAAGCGCGACAACCAATTCCCTCCCAAGGTTCGCGAACTGCAGATCGTGGTTGATGCGAGAAATGACACAGTGGTGCTTCCCGTCATGGGTCGCCCTGTGCCGTTCCACATCAACACGATCAAGAATGCCAGCAAGAGTGATGAGGGTGACTGGTCGTTCCTCAGAATCAATCTTCTCTCACCTGGTCAGGGTGTCGGTCGCAAAGACGACCAGCCTTTCGAGGATGCGTCAGCCCATTTCGTAAGAAGTCTGACCTTCCGGTCGACGGATGGCGACCGCTACCAAGAAATCGCTACCCAGATTTCCAATATGAAGCGGGATGTGAACAAGAAAGAGCAGGAGAAGAAGGAGCTGGAGGATGTTGTCGAGCAGGACAAGCTCGTCGAAATAAGAAGTAAGCTAGCCCCTTCCTTGATCACCCCGAGAAGCCTACTGACGAATTATACTAGATCGCCGTCCTGCTGTGCTCGACAACGTCTTCATTCGCCCTGCCATGGAAGGAAAGCGAGTTCCTGGTAAGGTGGAGATCCACCAGAATGGTATTCGATACCAGTCGCCGCTTAGCACGCAGCAACGTGTCGACATTTTGTTCTCAAACGTTCGCCACCTATTCTTCCAGCCTTGCCAGCACGAGTTGATCGTCATCATCCACATTCACCTGAAAGACCCAATCATGGTTGCCAACAAGAAGAAGACCAAGGATGTACAGTTTTACCGCGAGGCGACTGATATCCAGTTCGACGAGACAGGCAACCGTAAGAGAAAATACCGTTACGGTGACGAGGACGAGTTCGAGCAGGAGCAGGAGGAGCGTCGTCGCCGTGCCGAGCTTGACCGGCTGTTCCAAGGCTTTGCCCAGAAGATTGCTGAGGCTGGCAAAAACGAGAACATCGAAGTTGATGTCCCCATCAGGGATCTAGGCTTCCACGGTGTGCCATTCCGAAGCAACGTCTTCATCCAACCCACCACGGAGTGCCTGATCCAGGTTGTCGAGCCGCCTTTCATGGTCATCACATTGGACGATATAGAAGTGGCTCATTTGGAACGTGTGCAGTTCGGTCTGAAGAACTTCGATCTGGTGTTCGTCTTCAAAGATTTCACGAGGGCGCCTTACCACGTCAACACTATTCCAGTAGAGTTCCTCGACCACGTCAAGGAGTTCTTGGACTCTTCAGATATTGCATACTCTGAGGGTCCCCTCAACCTGAACTGGCCGACAATTATGAAGACGGTCACTGCCGACACGCACCAGTTCTTCATCGATGGTGGTTGGTCCTTCTTGCAGGCAGAATCCGACGACGAGGGCGAGGAATCTGAGCCTGAGAGTAACTTTGAGATCGAGTCCGACGAGCTTGACGAGGCTTCCGAATCGAGCGAGGAAGACTCCGACTTTGGCTCCAACGTCTCTGACGAGGAGGATGACGCCGAGATGAGTGATGAAGACGAGGGTGAGGACTGGGACGAACTCGAGGCAAAGGCCAAGAAGCGTGATCGTGAGGACGCCCGTGGCGGTGACGATGACGACCGCGGCCGCAAGAAGAGGAAGCACTGAGCATTTTGACTCATTGAGGGCACCATTTGATGAGAAATGGCGAATCGCAGGTACACACGGAAGCAGCGTTTTCCATGCGTGCATTGTTTTTGGTATCAATTGTATTATCAAATTTGTTGTGTAGGCGTCTAGGGTGGAGAGTATGGGGAGGATCTTGG